TTGGGAGCCTTTTGAAGTCTCCAATTTCGGCTTGCCTTTTGCTGAGTTGAAGCACGCAAGCCAACATCTGAACTGTTGCTGCTGTTGGAGCTACAATCGGAGGGAGAGCTGGACAGTTTCCCTCCCAGGAGCTTCAAGCCACGTTTGCTGATTGAATTGTTTTTCACAGGTAACTTTTAGCTGTGAAGCTTACGCTGCTGCCCTTCTACCACCTTGATGATATATCGACACCGAAGCTGCTTAATGTCATGTTAGTTTTTTCTTATGGACTGTTTCGGTATTGTGGAGAGGAATTTAGGGAGATGGCCTGGCTTCATTTAACCAAGATAAGACTTTGTTGTTAATGTGCCTTTTTAAAGATATAGTGTTTTTTAAACGTTTTGAAGTAAAGTATATTTTTATACAAGACTCCTCTGCTAGTTTTATTTCAGTCCTAGTGTGTTTGCTTGTGAGCTGGTTCACGATTCGGGGACAACCCCCAACCCCATCCTGACAAACCCCAATGGACTTTCACACACAATCTGTTTCTTAAAATGAGCAAAAGAAAGTTTCAGTATATTTCTTATAAGACCATCGCCGATACGTCTTCAGCTGACTTTCAGAATAAATTTGTTCCTGACATTTATTCAGCCTGTGGATGGTGTTTATTGCCTAGCAATTAGAACAGATATTAACTTAACATATATTATCTTTCAAAAAATGTTTCTCATGAACAGATTCCCAAGAGCTTTTGCATTTTCCTTCGCTCTCACTTTCTTTGTCTTTCTACTCTGCCTCCTCCACAGTTATCCACCCACCTGCTTTTAAAATGTGCTTTCTCTTCAAGCGTAGAGTTCAGAAAACTGCATTGCAGGCATAAAAGCCAATTATTTGGGCAGAAATAGCCCTCCAAAGTTATATTTTAAACCAAATAGCCTTTTAATTTTTTGAAACATTTTCTTTAATGGTTTAATCCAACCCAGTTCAATGAAGGGGTTTCTTTCTTAATCACATGCTGTTCATCGGATCCCATCCTATCCCATCCCATCCCACCAGCAGGAAACTTGTCATGGAAGCTGTTTTCAGTGGCAGGACATGGAAATTGGAGGGGGAAAATGATAAAAGAACATGTAATTGAAGTTAAATAAGCTCCTTTTCTTCCATGTTAATTCATTTAGACCACACCTGACAACAAATTAGCCAAGTTTATTTACATTCATTTCTTTGTTGCTTTTTTTTTGAAAAGTTTTTTTATTTTTATTTTTCATCAACATGTTTAAATGTACAATCTTTTATCCATCCTTATCCATTGTTTGTTCATCTTCTTCTTAAACTTCCATTAAGTAATTAATTAATTATTTTGTTCGAGTCTGCTCTTTTACCATTTCCTTCTTTTGTTTTACTACAACCTTTCCTTTTTCCCTTCCCTTCTTTCTCCTCCGTTCTTTCTTCTTTCCTCATTCCTCCTCTCCTTTCCTTTCCAACTTCCTTTCCTCTTTCCCCTCTCCTCTCTTCTTCCTCCCCTTCTTACCTTCTCTCCTGCTCTTCTTTCCCCTTCCTTCTTCCTCCTCTTTTCCCATTCTTCTTTTCTCTTCTTCTCACCTCCCAACTCCCATACTTTCCCTCTCTACTCCTCCCCTGTTTTCCATTCCTTTGTTGTTTCCTTTTTTAATTCAATCTGAGATGGTGTTTGAGCAGACCTGATTTCTATTTATATACGCCTTCATTTCCAATTTCATGTTTTTACTTTACTATTATTCCTCTAGTATTCCTGTACATTTTTAAATCAATCCATGTATCATCTGGGTATAACATTTGTACTATCATCTTCAAAGTTTACCATTATTTCTTAAAATATATATTTATCTTTTCTTCTTTCATTTAATTTTAATATACTACAACATATTCATCTCAAAGTTCTTGTCTTTATCCTGTTTATTATCTATACTCACTCTCTATCCATTGATAAAATTTCCCCCAAATGTTCTAATACTCCGATTCTGTTTTCCCTTTAATTATCAATGTCAACTTATTCATTTCTGCATATTCCAATATTTTCTTAATTACCTCTCCTTTTGTAGGGATTTTTTCGATTTTCCACTTTTGTGCAAATATCATTCTTACCGCCGTTATGATATGTATTATTAAATATATATGTTCTTTACTATACTTTTCTGAAAAAAATACCCAACAGAAACAATTCTGGTTTTAAATCAATATGTTGCAGCAACATTTCTTTGTTGCTTGAAGGTTGTTTCCAGCCTAAGTTTGCAATAAATGATGGCTAAGTAAGCTTGTCATACCAATAGAATCCAAGGGTCTTTTCTGTTTAAAATTAATACAAAATTACAAAGGGAGAAAAAGAAAAAGGAAAGAAAAAGAAAAAAAGAAAAATGTGTCCATCTAAACAGTCAAACCAATCTCTTCAATTGTTTTCTTTTAAAAAGGCAGAAATAAATAATCCTACTGAAATAGTTTTGTAAAACAATGCCCCCCCCCCATTAACTATAGTCCAACACTTTGAGGAAAGAAGTGGACTTCTGGGCATGGAAAGCAATTGATGAAAGAAAATGAGTTGGATCCACCCAATAAATCCTATTTTTCCTTGTTTCATGTATCAACTAAAGTTGAAGAAACTCTAAAATAAGGTCTTTAACTTTTTTTTAAAGTAGTGGGATAAATCTCTTTATAAAGACCCTTCCTTTATAGCTTGAAAACTTGGCTTTGCTATCTGGCCTGGGGAACAGAGAGTGACATACACCCCATAAAATGACTGTACCATTTTTGAATTACTGTGTTGAATGGTTTTAATCATTTTGAATTGTTTTAATGTATTGTATTGCTTGCATGGTTGCTTTATTCACTGGATTTCTTTTGATATTGTTTATATTGTAATTATAAGCTGCCTAGAGTCATGAATGAGACAAGCAGCAATATAAATTGAATAAATGCATGAATGAATAAATATAGATTTTATAAATATAGGGAATGAAAATTTTCTATAAAATAAAAGACATCTAAGTTTCGAAGGTGGGGCAGACAAATATCTTGAGATCTTAGGTGCACTTAAAGGTGTTTTAGGTGCCAAATGCAGCACTTAGGGTAAGAAGCAAATCATTAGTCAGTGCAGTAACTGAAAATATAGAAAATTAACGAGCTGGATTTCCGAACTGTTTTTAGAGTCACATACAGAAAAAATTATACTAGTTAAAACCTTAAGGTTATTGAAGCATGAATGATGGCAACAAGGCCTGCTCTTTGGTTTTATTTCACAGTAAATGCAGTCAATGCTTCAACAGGGGATGTGCATTCATTTGGTTCATTAAATATAAAACCCAAGCAAGTTGCTTTGGAGATACTGTATGCAGACCTCTTCCAAAGAACAACGAACCTTTGAATTGAACAATGAAGAACAATCCATACAATCCATGAATTGAATTGCTTCCTACCAGGACTGCTCTGGCTGCATCAAAGAGGGTACATCAAGATTATGAGAACTGATAATACCACTTTATATTCCACTGGTAAGTACCACATCCACTAAACAAAAGATTGTAAATCAAAGACTACGTGTATAGCAGTATACAACCACAACAATTTTAAGAAGCTTGGGCTTCAACTCTCAGAATTCCCCAGGCAGCATCTTCAAGTTGTGAAACACTAATTTATTGGTTAAGGTGGAGATTCTTTGAATGATTTGGAATGTTTCTTCCCAGACTAATCTTTACCTGGCATGAGCTGTCAACTGACTCACCTTTTGTCTCTTGATTTGCTCTCCATTCCACCCATTCATAGCCTTCTCATAGTCTTGTACAAGGAGTAGGCATGGGTTGTAGGGTGATGTCATTTCAAAATAGAGTTGTAGTTTAAGCTCAAAGTCCCAGTGGCACATGTGGGACCCTAGGGGATGGAACTGAGCACTGATGAGGAGCTTTTCATGGGGAGATTTCCTCAGAGAAGAGTACCTGTGGGAGGAATGGTTCTCTAAGTTCCTCTTAAACCATTTCTCATCTAAGCTCATAGATATATTGAAGATATTAGAAAGAGAACTAAGAAAATTTCCCGACCCAAGTCTGCAAAATGTCCCCATCCATAATCACTGGATTGTTTTACTTACTTTTCTATTTAGTCCTCGGAACTGATTGTGTGACAGTTTCTATTTGAATCAAAATCTGAGTCCAACGTGATCTCCCCTGACTATTGCACTGTAGGCTATACAGAAGCCGAACAGAATGGATGGGCCTGACAGTTTATTGCATTATCTTGGAAAATATGATGAACAAAAAGCAAGGCATAATAGCCTCAAGTCAAGTCAGATCCCATTTGCCACAAGTGAATGCTGGAGTTGCAAAAATGCCACACTGAGCTGCAGGAGCTATTTCTGCATTGCTTCTCCCATGGTTGATCCCCAGGCCCATTTTTGCTGTCAGAATTCCAGATCAAGGAAATCGATAAATAAAATCAATTCCTTATTACAATTTTACACACACACACACACACACACACACACACACACACACAAGCTGTAACTGCAAGACACACCAAGAGCTAAAGAAGAAGCAAACTGGAATTCACATTGTATTTTCTCGTCATTACTGGAAGTAGTTGCCAGGTTGCCACACAATGCCAGGTATAATCTATGCATGGCAATCAATAACTTCTTGGAATGGTATCTGTACAGATCAAAAGAAAATAGAACTTTAAAAGTAGCATTTGGGGGAGAAGGGCTGTGTAGTAGCCTCTATCTTGATGTGCTGCCTTTCAGGGTGATAATTTCTGCAGAGAGATCATTGCTCTTCATGTTACGGTTTAGTGGAAGATTGAATCAAATGACATCTCTATGCATACAGATTGGTCTCTATGATCACAGAAATGATTTTTTTTTTTTTTGGTAACCATCCCTGGTAGCCTTTCCAACTACATAAGGCTAATCATTCATCCAGCAACCAATATAGCATGTGAAAGTAACAGTCAGAAATCCAGTGTTATTGCATACTGAAAGAAGGGATGTTGGAGAATGCTACCCTGGATTTCTTTTATTTTGAAATCCTGTGATCTATTAAGCTCAAAATGTCAGAACTGAATGGTCCATCGCAGAAACAGGTGAGAAATAAATAGATACTGTTAACATCCATTTCAAAATGTTTCTTAGCTCAGAATGCAAGGGAAAATATGCCAGGCAGGCTTGCACAAAAATGCCTGAAGTTTGAGAACCTTGTGCAAAAGAAAGAATTGCAGGTGTTTGTCTAGTTATTGTAGAATGGTGCATCCTTGAGGACTAGGTTCAGTCCCAGCTTCAATCATCGAAGTTGATTGGGTCACGATGCAGCAGTGATACTTTCTCAGCTCAGCCTATTCCACAAAATTATTTTTGTGGGGGGGTAAAATGAATAGAGATTCCCATGTAAGCTACCTTGAGCTCCTAAGGGGAGGTAGGATATCAATCTAATAAATACAGACCCAGAATATTGGCAAGGATTAATACTTACATTATTGGGGATGCTGTTTTTGGCTGATTTCAGTTATAAATAAGCAGAGGCTATTTCAAAACTCTGCTCTAGGTGCAGGACCCTAGATAAAATATGCTAAAATGAAGATGGGATTTTAATCCTGTATTTGTGCTCAGCTTTGTAGCAGTGCTCTACTTCCGCCGTAGTATAAATCAACTTGATTAAATTCATCAGTGGTAGCTTGGAGCCACTACTGGTTCTCTTTCTGCTCTGATAAACAGGAATCTTTGGAACAGATTTGCCCTGGGTCACTAGCTTTGGTAGCAAGGACATGGCACTATTTTTAGCTGCATGCTTGGTTTCTGAGCGGATAGTGACTCTTGCATAAGTATTTCTGTCCAAATATCACATTTAGGTGAAAGTTTGTGCTCTAAAGATTGGAAGTGTTATCACTCTCCTCTGAAGGGATTAATTTTCCAGATGTAATCTTAAAGAGACAGCTCTGACATCCTTTCTATTGATTGGATGTGAGCTTTCGCTTTGGAGTGGGGGGGGATTAAAGAATAAAAATTAAATCCCAAGCCTTTATTTCTATTTAATGATAACCTAGCAGGAGGAAGCCTGATTTCAGTGTGTTTGGTTGTTTTGTTTTGTTTTAACCACAGTACATTTGGGTTCATCCAAATTCAAATGTTGAAATCAAACCCTATCGTTTAAAAATCAATCTTTTATTACAATGGAAATGTGTAGAGGTGGAATGCTTTGTGAACTGCATGTCCCCAATTCTGTGTCTGGAGTCATCATGTACAGTCCAGTGCCTTTCTTCCAAAATAAACAGAGGTTAGAGGGAATTCCATTACCGCAATTAAAATATGTTTCAGTCAGAATCATAACAGGCATCTCAAAAATCAACCCAGGGGAATGTTTTCTTTTAGTACTGAAATGTTATTTGAGCAGTGTTTTTTGTTCAACCAAACCAGCTTAAATATTGCAGATTGTTATATACTTTGTCCAGATCTGGTTAAGAGACTCTAAATAATTTCTTCACACACATCTTTGATTTTGTGAACCATGCAGAGAAAGCAAAAGAAAGATAAATGGCAGAGAAATGCCAAATGTCGATGGCCAAGCAGCACAATGCTCTTCAGATTTTCTCAGCTTTAAGCGCCGTTGAGGTCAGAAAAGCATATTTACAATTGTATTCAACCTTTTTCACTTACCTAGGAAGAAAATTGATAGTCCCTGTTCATAGCAGGAATACAGCATAATGGAAAGGGAACTAGGTGGTCTCAGATGCCTATAGAGATTCTCAGTCATCCAGGTCATGGATGTCCCAAAGGTGTTTTTTCAAGAGGCAACTGGACTTTCTTGTTTTTCTTTGAAGATGTTTCGCTTCTCATCCAAGAAGGTCTCAGATGCTACGAAAATGAGAGTATGATAGGGATAGGAAGAAAGATAAAATATAAAAAATTGTTCAGATTCTTATAGAGAGCTTAAGCTTGTCATAAATCTTCATACTCATTTGAACTGGCTGGATCTCCTGATTTCCCTCACCCTTGACACAACTGAGTCCAAAATTTCTGTTGCTTAGCAAGACATTTGTTATGTGAGTTTTGCCCCCATTTTATGACTTTTCTTGCCACAGTTGTTAAGTGAATCATAGCAGTTGTTAAGTTGATAACATAGTTGTTAAGTGAATCTGGCTTCCGCATTGACTTCGCCTGTCAGAAGGTTGTAAAAGGTGATCACATGACCCTGGGCACTACAACTGCCATAAATACAACTCAGTTGGCAACCATCTGAATTTTGATCATGTGACCACAGGGATGCTTCAATGATCATAAGGAGCCTTGGTGGCGTAGCAGACTAAAGCACTGTTAAGTAATACCAGCTGCCTGCACTTATTGCAATTTCAAATCTCACCAGGCTCAAGGTTGACTCAGCCTTCCATCCTTTCAAGGTAGGTAAAATGAGGACCCGGTTTGTGGGGGCAATAAGCTGACTTTGTATAAAATAGAACACCGCTTAGGGGGGCCCCAAAAAGCCCTACTAAGCAGGTATATACAAAAGTATGAAGGCTATTGCTTAACGCATTGTAAGCTGCCCTGAGTCTCCAGAAAAGGGCAGCATATAAATCGAACCAAATAAATAAATAATAAATAATAAAAAGAGCCTTGATAGCACAGTGGTCTAAGCACCCTGTTATTAACACAGCTGCCTGCAATTACTGCTGGTTCGAATCTCTCCAAGGCTCAAGGTTGACTCAGCCTTCCATCCTTTCTAAGGTGGGTAAATTGAGGACCCAGTTTGTGGGGGCAATAAGCTGACTTTGTATAAATATACAAAAGTATGAAGGCTATTGCTTAACGCATTGTAAGCCGCCCTGAGTCTCCGGAGAAGGGCGGCATATAAATCAAATTAAAAATAAATAAATAAATAAATAAATAAATAAATAAATAAATAAATTGTGAAAAACGGTCTTAAGACACTTTTTCCAGTACCGTTATAACTTCAAATGTTCATTAAACGAACGGTTGTAAGTCAAGGCCTACCTGTAATTTGAAACCTAAGTACAAGCTTGTCAAGAAATCTTATAAAGCACTCTTTTACCCTAAGTATGTTAGTATAGAAGACTAGTTTAATTCAAGTATTTTATTAAATAGATTAAGCACCTTAGCATAAAAGCAGGCCTTGAGTAAAGCCTACTGAAGTAATAGATACCCAACTGTCTACTCCTGAGTGATAGAAACTCCAGGAAAGAAAAAGGCAATTTTTATCTACTGTATTTTCAATTAGTTTGTTCCAGTTATCATTTATATGGAAAGGAGAAAATGCCTCCAGAGGCAAGGAAAAAGCAAACAGAAATAATATAAATGACAGCATGCCCTCAAAAAATTATTCAGCACTCAGTCACATCGCTGATACTTAGTTTTTAAATGTGCATATTTTTAACTGGCAAGATTACATTTTGAAAAATAAACTATTATATCAAATTTATAATCATTTTGTTTTTGATGGAAATGTTTTTCTGAATTTAAGTAGACTTCTATAACATTTGCTCTTGTAATTAGATTGGGAGCACTTCCTTGGCTGGGACTGACTTAGTAAATGAACCAGGTTCTTCTTTATTTGTGGAGGAAAAAAAATAACAATTAATGGATAAAATCAAACCAGCCATCTTGATAAAAGCGGCTATGCAATGAACTCTAAGAAATTCTGTAGTTTGTTCCATTTGGTAATGCTTGCATCCTTCTGTCAAAGGAACCAACACACGGCTTTGTTTGTCAGCAATTTGTGTTAAAGAAGAATGATTTCAACACACAGGAGAATCACCTGAAAGATTAATCTAAGTCACATATTGCTGCTTTAAAGCACAAATCTGAAGTATAGTGAATAGTGGAAATATGACTGCTAGCAACATTTATATGGGAAATAAATGATGTATTTTTAATATATATGTCAATGTATATGTCATCAGATGCCTAGAATTATTACAGCTTTACTAATAAACAAACACAACTCAGTCTTTAACACCTGTATTTCAACAGATTGATTCTTTCCACACGGAGTATTAGTTCAATGGATTTCTGAATAGTTAACTCAGTTGTTTGAATCCAAGGTTGTACGAAGTAGTGTTTGCTTATTTATTTATTTAAACAATTTAAACATCTCCCAAAAGTGACTGGACATCATACAGGGGTTATAATCACTACCATTTGATAATATTTAACAAAAGCCAATGCCCAAGGTCATAATGCAATTCAACTCATAAAGAATAAGAGAAGCATATTAAGTATCAGAGTTTGCCTAGCTACACACAGCTCATAAACGTGAGGGAACAACAAGGACCTTAATGCTTTAATTTTGAGACTTGAAATGTCTTATACATAATTGAAATATAACTCACAAAGATGAAAACAACATTGTAGTGGAGCTCCTTTGGTATGGTTGTTAATCCCTTTTGCCAAATATGCACTTACAAAAAGTCCCAATCACATAATTAACATTCTTGGAAGTCCTTTTACTCATGGAATGGAATGGAATGGAATGGAATGGAATGGAATGGAATGGAATAGAATAGAATAGAATAGAATAGAATAGAATAGAATAGAATAGAATAGAATAGAATAGATGCTGCAATTGTTCCAAATTCCTCCATATACTTTAAAAATGTTCACCAGTTTAATTTCTCTTTGCCTATAAAAGGTCTCTGGTTCAATTCCCAGCACTTTCAGATAAACTGGAAAAATTCATGGTAGAAGCACAGAGAGCCACAGAGAATGTTGATATTGTATAATAGCTCCCTATGTAGCTATGATGCATTATTCTTCAGTTATCTCAACTTTAATACTTAGTGATTTCATTCACATTCACCTTTTTTTAAACCAACTTTTGATAATATATGTTTCCATAGAAACCCAACCTTTTAATGGCTTGCATGTGAACTATGAAAAAAAAATGTCAAGAACACTCATAAAATTGTACAGACAAGGGGGTGTGGACACGGTGAAAACAAATATAGATCACATTAAAAATAGATTCATGTACTGTTTTACCCTGTCCCACCTCAGCAGCATACTTTGTAAGTTGGTTTCCAGGTCAATTCTTGGCATCTTCAAATAGAACTGGAAAAGCTAATGTCTAAAACTAGAGATTACAGCCAGTAATGTTGAGAGTAATTAGTTATAAATTCCTGTGTTTCCATTCCTCATAGGCATTTTCACTGTATACAGGAATATAAGCGAGAGTACTCATGGTTTTTTTTTTAAATGAAGTGAGGCCTGATTATTAGGGACAGAATTACATGGTTCCCAGAACATTTCAGTAATAATTAAAAGCTGACTTTTGATTTCAAACATTCATTCTTAAAAAAAAAGAAAAATCCTTCCGAAGGTTGTAGAATCCTCTGCTGAGTTATTGCCATAATGTTCATGGTTGGTGGTATAAACACAGACTTCATTTTAAAAAGAAAAAACAAAGGTTTAGAAATACTTTGGAATCAAGTCAGGGAAGCTGCCAAACCTAGAAGCAGAATTTTAGGAACAAGAAACTCTAATATATCACAGATAACACTTTCTTGTAAACATCTGTCTTCATTTCAGGCATTAGTTAAATGCCCGATCTGTTGTTATTGATCTGGCAAACTGTTTTTATCAGGAGATAGTTATAACCAGATTTTTCCATTAAAAACATTAATTATTTGTCAGTTACTTTTATCTTCCTGTTTACATACAGCTTGTCTTGCTGACAAGTTTTCTTTAGGAAAAATGAAGATGCATGTATGGGATAACAATCTGAATGTTCTTATCACTGCAGTACAATTAACCCTGAAACACAGAAAGCTACACTTTATATACAGAAAGCTGGACTTAGTTTTCTAAGAGAATACAGTGAAATTAACACTCCCCTCCCAATTAATGGGAGAATCCTACTATGATTATTTTGCATGGAGACTCTGTCATTCACAAATGAATTAAAAAAGAAACTCTGTAGATTCAGCACCTTGCTTACAGTTAGGACCATCCACATAAAAGGCAGTTCACCAGAAGATCTAGAGAACAATAGTCAGAGAACAATAGTCAACAGAACTCATAACACTTTCAAAATTCCTCCTTTTTTGGGGGAGGGGTTCCTTTTTTTCACCTAAGGAGCTTGGAAGTTTTAAGAACCTCGTTTCTCAGTTGTTGTTTCTTCTATGTGGCCTGTTTTTTTTAGTGAGCTCAATAAAAAAAAAAATCTAATTGTCTAGTCAAGAAGAGGTATGTTTTTCAAAGTTCTTCTGTGCAGTGAGTTTGACTCAGAAAGCTAATATAATCCTTGGTTATATAAACAGAGGCATAGACTCAAGATCATGTGAAGTATTAGTACCGCTTTATAAAGCCTTAGTAAAACCACACCTGGAATATTGCATCCACTTTACAAAAAAGTCACCATATTACAAAAAAAATGTTGAGACTTTGGAAAAAGTGCAAAGAGCAACTAACATGATTAAAGGCCTGGAGACTAAAACATATGAAGAATGGCTGCAGGATTTGGGTTTGGCTAGGCTAGAAAAAAGGACTAGCAGTATTCCAGTATTTGAGGGCTGCCACAAAGAAGAGGGGCTCAACTTATTTTCCAAAGCACCAGAGGGCTGGACAAGATACAATGGATGGAAACTAATCAAGGACAGAAGCAACCTAGAATTAAGCAAAAACTTCTTAACAGTTGTGGTGAGATTGGACATCCACATTCCCGTGCTGAGTTCTCCCTGTTGGTGAGCTCCGAAAGGAGCCAAAGCTGCCCTGTAGGGACAGTGAAGCAAAGAAGGGTGCCCTGTGAGGTCGCGGAGAGTCACAACTCTCCTGTCTGACTTAGGTTCTTTTTTCCTCTCAGCCATGGCAAGGAGAAGAGGCAGCCAAAAGATGGCTGCCACAAAGCTGGGACAACCGGGGAACAACTATGACTGGTGCTGGAGCGACGTAGGTGAACAGTGACTGGAACTGGGGGAGAGGATTCCTTTTTACTTAAAACCTAACCCCAAGAAACAATTTAGAACCATTTGCTCAGAATTGTTTGTTAAAGCAGCGATTAAGCATTCTGAGAAAAATACCAGACCAGAAGGAAAAGACCTAAAGAGAGAAAAGCAATAAATTTCTAAAAATACAGAAGATTGGATACTTAAACTAGGAAGATGTGGTATTGGGAAGGCATTTTAAAACGCTAGAATTATTTACTTAAAAAACTTATCCTGCTTCTATAGTTGAATTACAATTAAAATTACGATCAAAATAAGTAAGATTAGACTGACTAGTGGCAACATTGAAATTTAAGTTGAGAGTGCCACCTGCAAATATACAAGTCTGGGAATACTTATATGAAAGATTGTGAAAATATTTACTGGGTTATATCTAACTACCCCACGACTACTGGAGACTCAAATATGAGAACAAGGAAGTTATTTAATTAAAGTGACCCCTGAATGTTATGCTAGAAGATTGAATCTTAAAGGGGACGTAAAGAGGCTTTTGATAACTTCTGGAACTATTTAAACAGAACTGATTGATTTCTTATGAGATACAAAGAACTGTGATCAGTGTACTTCTTGAAGGGCAATTTTAGGTCTGAAGAAATGATTCTTGGACTACTGGACAAAAGTGGAATTTTTAAAAACAAAATAAGATGCTTCATAAAGAAGAAATGAGTGGAACTTTGAAGAAGATGGCATTGATTTTCTAAAGCACAAAGGACATCATGGAGAAAGGATTTAAGGAGACTATGGGAAAAATGGAAAATACTATATGAGGGATGATGAGTAAAGATCTAGATGCTCAGAAAAGGGAGGAGCTAACAGAAGGAATGGAGGAAAAGATAGAACCAAAGAACCAGTGAACAAAAGAAGAGGAAAAGATGGAGATAATAAAAATAACAGTGATTGATGAATTAAACCAGGGAAAAATATTTTAAGAAAGTTGAAAAGAGAATTGAAGATACAGGAAGATACTTTTGAATGGGAGATAGGGGTTTGGCAGATACTTTGGAAGCTAGGCAGTGGAAGACAGTAGAGATTGGAGAAATACCTAGATTGACTAGCCAAGAAGTAGATGCAGACAGAACTAAAGATCCAAGAGAGGAATATGGGAGGCAAGTCAAAAAAAAAAAAAAAGGATAGCAACTAAAGTACTGAAGACAATGGATAGAAAGGAAAAGGTTTCTTTTTTTTAATGTCATGATTTGCTTTTCTTTTTCTCTTTCTTTTCCTTCATTTTTAGAATGGTGGCATGATTAGAAGTTAGGTAGAAATAAGAAAAAGGAAAAACATTTGTATAAACATACCTTTATATAATGGAATAAAAGTAACAATAAAATGAGAAAACTAGAGATTGAATGATGGTATTATGAAGTATTTTTTAATAATATTGTGATTGGCATTGAAATAATATATTGAAACATTGACCAATTAAATAATGAAAGAACACACTTTAACATAAACATGTGTATTACTATCAGAATTATATAGATTTGATGATTGTAAAGAATATGATTAGAATAATTTTGTATCTCTAAATAATATTGGGATTGGTATTAGAATTATGAATTGAAACATTAACTAATGAAATAATGAATGATTGTATCTTAATACAAATAGATGTAAAGAGTGAAATATGGGAGGTAAGTTAAAAATGAACAGGATTCAAAGCACCAAAGTGGGTGAGAGATGTTGGATAGAAAGAAAACGTCTTTTAATAAAAGGGTGACATGATTAAAAGTTAGGATAGAGATAGAAATAAGAGGAAAAGGGGAATATTAGTGTATACATTTTTACATAATAAAATAAAAGCAATAACATGAGGGAAGCTTAGAAATTGAATGTCGGTATTATTATGTTAAATAATATGGTGAGTGGCATTAGAGCAATATATTAAAACATGGAATAATTAAATAATGATAAACTACAACTTAATATAAATGTATATTATTATATGTCTATGAAATATATGTTGGTTGAATGTAATAACTATCATTAATTTTACTAGTTTTATTTGTATTAGAATGTATGACACCCAGGTGCCATACTGTTCACGCATTGATATGTATATGTAAAATAAAATTTTAAAAAACTTGAAACAAAAAAAATAGTGAGGACAATTAACCAGTGGAACAGCTTGCTGTCAGAAGTTGTGGGTGCTTCATTACTGGAGATTTTTAAGAAGAGAAAGTGTATAGGGTCTCCTGCTTGAGTAGGGGGTTGGACTAGAAGACCTCCAAGGTCCCTTCCAGCTCTATTCTGATTGATTGTTTGATTGACCACAAAGCATGAGCTTACTTTACTATTTGAATCTAGCAGAAATGGAAAAATATGTTCTCCCACACAGGTTGTTGGTCTCTATCAAATCAATGTATGGTCATAGCTTTTTCTAGAATGCATCATGCCATTTTCTCAGTGAGCAAAAGCTGATCCATGTTCTTCCTGTCTAGGTTACTAATAAAGCCGCTATGAAATTCTTGGAATGAAAACTGAAGATTAAACATTAACACTTAGCACTAACATAAAATTTGTTAGGCAAGTAAACGTTTCCAAGATTTTCATTTAATATCCAAAGGAATGAGAGTTATCAATATACTGTTTTTCTTTCTTTATAATCCCCTCCAAATGCTAGTTATGACATTTTGTATCTTACGCCCTGTGTAGATTTTCTATTAATTTTATGTAAAAATATCCAGTTGAAATCTTTTGAATCTATATAATGAGTGGCAATCTTCATCTGCAACTCAAACACAGATGATACAAATTTTTGGAGAAATGCATGTACAAAAGAAAGGGAAAATTACATATAGAAAGTGAATATACTAAGAAAAATATTAAAAATTCATATATCAGAGAGTCATAAAAATGTAAATTAATTTTTATGTAGACAATTTTATTGCATTTACTAACTGATGTGAAACTAGCGTTTTAAAAATTATGGTTGAGAAAATTTAAAAAATTATCAAATCAGCATTAACTGATTGTCCTTCCCAGCAGAACAATCTGTTAAAAAGTTACTATTCTATTTATTATTCCATTTAAAAATAAATAGAAATACATTAACAAAAACTTCGCAACAAATGTTATTGTGTTTATTTTTAAAAAATACATCCTTAGTAATTAATCCTTAGAGTTATTAAAATAATAATAGATCTTTATTGTTAAAAACACAAGTTTAGTAATAAAATAAAAAATATAGAAAAATGCTTTCTTTGGCTTGTCAATAACATGTGTTTTGGTAATTGAAATGGAACTTGCTTCTTACTGAGTTAATAATTCATAAAAGTTGAAATGTGTTACATTTCATCAAATGTCTTTATTGAGAGAGAAAAGCATGTATTAGGAAAATCAGTATTTACCTGCAATTGCTTCTAAAATGCTATTTTGCATTATCATTAATGCATTTTACTGATCTATTTCAGCAAGCTATCTTCCAAAATATGGAGGAAAACACTGACTTTAACAGTGCAAATGTTGAGGCATATAAAAAGAATCTCAATATTACCTATATGTATCAGGTTTAGCCAATTTCAGTTAACATTATTAAGAAAAAAGATATTCTAAAGTAAGGCAGGATTCCTTCCAAAGTGACAAAAATGCAATTTTCAGGATTTCAGAGGGCTGAGGGAAGGCAGGCTGATTTTTTTTTTCTAACCATTAGCTGTCCCTGCAAGAACTAGCTGTGAGAAAGGCAAGTCTCAAGAGAAGAGAATATTTGTAGCTCAGGGTTGAACTGTGGGGCCCTTGGTATTCTCTGAGCTTGGTGGTTTTCTTGCAGTGCACTGATTATGTTACTTAGTTTGGTAATAAAATGTCTGCAAGAAAACCACCACGATCAGAGAGCACCAAAGACCCCCAAGCCAAGTCTAATTTTCCTTTCTTCCCAAACCACCAATTGGTATCTAACATAAAAGCACTGACTGCCCCTCCTTCTCTGAATATTTTGTTGAAAATGCAATTCCAATGTAAGAGACTCTGGTATCTCGAGACCTATGGATCCCAAGGAGGCAGTTTGGTGCAATTAGAAAGTTAAAGATGCCTCTTTGTCTAAAAGGATGTTAATCTGAAGTCATTTTCTTTTTCCTCTCTTCCCAGATAATTAAGGAAACATGTTCTTTGGCTTTGCTTTTGATCAGTTACCTGGATGCTATATTTTGCCTCTCCTTATAATGCATTTCTATAGACAAATCTTTTTCTTATTATGAACTCTCCTTTACAAATCCTGCTTAAATTACTGTAGCTTCCTGAGATGTTTACTTACAGGCTGAGGATGCTTCAATCTCAAACATATTCTTCTATAATTTAGATGGCTTTTTTTTATGAAGAGGCATCTCTAAAGTACATGCTGTTTTCACAGGAATTATCTATCAAACAAAAAAGGAGATTAAATTTGCTTTTTCAATGTTATACTGGATGAAAAAGCTAAAAAAAATTGCTTGTAATATTATCAATATTCTAAACTGTAATTCACACAGAATATTTTTTCTTTCTCTTTCTGTTCTCAATATTCTAAGCTATTTAAATATAGAACGTTAATAATTTTAAACATGTTCTAACAACATCAATTATGGAAATAGCACAGTGTACCAAGACTTATAACAACATAATAAACAGAAAGGAAAAAAGAAAATCACTTGAAAACTTTGCTCAAGTTTCAGGCTCAATAGGCTTTGCCTCCATGTAAAAAGCAACAATGACTACAAATATGTCTAATTTTCTTGAATTTGATAGGCTTCAAGCCAGAAAAGAAGAGAAGCATTTTAATGTTTGTAGTTGTTTGTTGATTTTCAGTTAACAGTAAACAGCATTCGGGGGATTTTCATGGTTTTGGATTTGTTGGCCTGGCATCCAACTAAGATTGTTTCCAAATCAATTTACAATGAATCACTTTGTTTTTTTGAATTGCCAAATTGAGTGTAACCTTGGTAGAAAAACAAAAAACGAAGAAGATGGCTCAGCAAGGTTATTTTCTGAAAATATAGTTACTATTCTTCACAGGTTTCAACAATGAAATATTGGCTCTTGTCCTCTGTGAAGCAGATGTATTTTTTGAGAGATGCACTCAGTTTATTTATGATATACATATTCTGCTGTTGTTGCTTTGATGCAGACTTGAAGAATACAAACTTAACAGCTCAGTTTTTGTTTAGCTCATATTAGTCTGTGGAGTATCTTTATAGATTATTTAAAAAGAAACAGGCACCCTGTATTTGAAACTTCTGGATTTGATACTTTTCCACCCACATCAAGCAGGGGATTTTTTTGTCTGTTTCTGATAAAATGTCCCCCCCCCCCTTGTCCCACATATCTTTTATAGCAATTAAGTCCATTGTCGATCTCTGAATACCTGCTACAGCTATGTGAATGGATTATGTTTCGCATGAAAGGAAACTCTACTGCTTAGATTTTTATGTGCAACAGAAATTATAGTTCCTCTGAAAAACATGACATCAGCCTCTGGCTGAAACTGCAGGAAACATTTTGAAGTTTTGAGTGGTAGAAGTGTGAAAAACAGACCTTTGATCAGGACAGATGAAAATTCTTTGTAGATAATTTGAACTCCTTCTGCACTTCACTCAGATAAAAGGTGGGCAAGAAAATCCATAATTTTTAAATGATGAACCTTCCATGATGTAGCGAAAGCAACACATAAGAGTAGAATATGGGTAATCCTTGATTTACAAGCATTCATTTAGCAGCTGTTCAGAGTTGCAATGGGACTAAAACAAGTAATTTACAACCAGTCCTCACACTTAAAACCGGGGCAGCACCCTCAGAGTCATGTGATTTAAATTTGGGCCCACGAGAAGTGGCATGTATTTATGATGCTTGCAGCATCCTGAGATTATGTGATCGCTATTTGTGACTTCCCTAGACAGCTTTTGACAAGCAAAGTCAATGGGGGGAAGCTGGATTCACGTAACGTCCATTACGTTAACAGCTGCTGTGATCCACTGCAAAAAAAGTTGTAAAATCGGGTGTGTCTCACTTAACAATCACCTTTACTTAGTGATGGAAATTCTGGTCATAATTCAAGGACTATGTGTATATAAAGCTACAGGTTTCATTATCTTAGTATATAAGTGAATCTCTTTATCTGGCAAATACGCATTTTAATCTGATGCTAAACTCAAGTGCTATTGCAAGATATTCAAATGATATGAAATACAAATTTTCACACTTTTTTGCTGCAGTAATTTTCCCACCAGAAATCATGCAGTTTAGATTTGTTGAGTGAGTAGCATCAAGCTTAGTATTTTTTTTTAAATGACTCCTGTAACAATATGAAAAAAGATAAGAGTGTTTAACTCTCCCAAAGAGCAGAGTGAGTACATATATTTCCCATAAAGGACTTATATTATCTCATTATGTGGAGAGTTAGACGGAGCTTTGTGAGGCAAGTATGATTTGCTTTGATGATGCATTTTGGGCAGAGAAGCAACACCATTGTCTCCTCTGAGAGGTGAAGGGGCCCAATGTGCGGGATTTCACACAATGTAAAGACTGATCCAGAGAGTCCACTGGAAATCTATTTTGGGACAGCCTGCAACTGATTGGAAAAGACTTCAGCACAGAGCATTTGTGTAGCCTTTTTCAGTTGTCAGAACTGTTGAAGGAAGGAAGCACCCTCTTAGAAACCGCATAAAGGCCTAACACTGCTGTATCACCCTATTCTCTCTCTGAAATAGGCTAGAAAAGAAAATGTGGTTGACTCTGCTTTTGCTGGAGGTAAAGTAACATAGGGTTAAATTCTTGTTTGATAGGCTTACCTTAATTACACAGTCTATGTCTCTGATGGATGTCAGTCATTCTTCACAATAGTATCACGTCTACAGGGGCTTACCGATTCTACGGTTTTTGATACTACAATTCAGTGCCGGGGAAGGCATCAAAAAGGATCAAAAAGCACAGGAGAGGTGAAATGTTGTTATTTAAAGCATAAAGATTCCGGAATTCAGTATTTTTTGCTACTTTTCTTTTCTAGCACTGGATACTGCTGCTGCAGCAGCAGCTGGTGGTAATAATGACAGTAATGATGAAGAAGAAGATGACAATGGTAGTGATGATAATAATGATTTGAGTGGGAGATCTAAATATCTCTAGTTACTGGCACTTGCTTCAAAAAAGTGGAATATTTTATGTTGTACTTACTGTATCCTTTCAGTAACTGTGCTTCTTTCTCTTTTGATAGATCTGCATCCTTTTGTCCAGTTTGTGGCTTAGTCTGATTCTGCTGATCCTTCATTAGTGCTGTGGGTCTTTTTCATTCTTCCTCTTTGTGAAGTATATCCTTTCCCTCACCTTCACCTCTCTAATATTTGAGCAATCCACAGCTAGTTCTCTGAGTCTGGAAGGTGGAAGATCCATGGCGTTTTAAAAATGAGCCTATGTTAATCAAAAGAAAGTTGCAACCTGCCTATATGAAATATGCCAGCTCTTATGTTCACTATGTTCCCTATAATCACAAGAATGTGTTTTTCTGTTCAGTGTTGGCCATTCTCATCATCATAATCATCTTTTAACAACCCCATAATCCCTCACCAGGTGGAGTCTGGGCAACTGAATGGAGCTAGAAGAGTGTTTTAATGGCCGGATGCCCTTCCTGTCGCCAATGCAGAGTTTTGTTCAGGAGATATATTCTCAGTGTGCCCAGAGAGAGAAATATCTGCCTCTACCTAGGATCGAATTCACAGCCTCCTGATTGTGAGGCAAGAGCTCCACCTCAGGACCACTGCACCACTCCATTGTTGGCCATTCTCATGCCACCAGCAAACTTAAAATATGCCTGTTGGTGTCTCATAAAGCTAATATACATATAAGTTTATTTCTATGCATTCTGGATATTCGTGCTTCTTCTTCTTTTTCCTTAGAGTTGGCTGAACAAATACAAATGAAATAATTACCTCTTGTTTGTAGGAACTGTGATTCCAATGGCACGCAGGGGGCAGAATAGTGTTACATAGAGCTGAGGATTTACTTTGTGTCCCTTCTTTGTTTTAGAATTATTAATCTCAAATTACTTCCTTTTGTCTTTCTTCCCAGGTAGATGTGTACATAATATGTGTTCTTTGACTCTCCTGATTTGACGTAGTTAACCGGTTGCTTTTTTTTTTTCCCTAGCCCATTATATTCTCCTGTAAAGAAATCTCCTTTCTATGATAGTTATGAAACATGTTTTGCTCCTCACTGCTCAGGTCAGATTCTTGCTCTCAAGGACGTTCAAACACAAAGAAAGAATTTTTCGACCTCCAACATAGTGCCTTTCAGTACCTCAGGGATCTTTTTGCCTTATGCTCTATTTCTTGGGGTGTACATTTCTGCCATTCATTATAGATCTGCACGTCTAAGCATCCAGTTTGCTATATTTCAGGCAGAAAGGGAAGACTTGTTTTTGTTCTGTCAGGCTTTAAGTTTTGATTTTTTTTTAAAAAAATGTTAAGGTAGTCATATTTTCTGTAAAGCTATTTGGGGGTTATAATTTTCTTAGAAATTGTTCTGGGAGAAGGGGAGTATAGAATTGTATTAAATAAATAAATGATCTCATTAATAAAATGAGACAATTTGGGATTTTTTTTTTAATTTGAGTAATGCTTGATTTTATAAATTGTTATTATGCTTTCTTGTCAGGGATATTAGGGATATCTTCTCCACAGGCTCCTCTCTTGTTAACTAATTCTCTCTCACACAGACACTCAGCTTGTAAAACTGACGAATAAGTTGTGTGTGAGACATATATTTGTTTTTAGTTAGCTGGATGTTTTCTTACACAATTCCTTCTTGACTCCCACATATGTGAACTTTCTAGATTATGCATTTTAATGCAATAATAACCAAGGAACTCTCTCCTGCATGCAACTGACAAACAGAAACATAGTACCACTTCCTAGTAAGCTGGGGATTCCTGCAGACTCTTTTATCATAAGTGGATAAATATCAGTGAGAATGCTTGAATTAGGCCTTGATCAATTTCTGGTGAAAACTAGGCTTGTTTGTTTTAAACCATTAAACCATTTAAACTGTTAGTTGCGAAGTCGTGTCCGACTCATCGCGATCCCATGGACAATGTTCCTCCAGGCCTTCCTGTCCTCTACCATCTTCTGGAGTCCATTTAAGCTCACACCTACTGCTTCAGTGACACCATCTAGCCACCTCGTTCTCTGCAGTCCCATTCTTCTTTTGCCCTCAATCTTTCCCAGCATTAGGCTCTTCTCCAGTGAGTCCTTCCTTCTCATTAGGTGGCCAAAGTATTTGAGTTTCATCTTCAGGATCTGGCCTTCTAAAGAGCAGTCAGGGTTGATCTCCTCTAGGACTGACTGGTTTGACCGCTTTGCAGTCCAAGGGACTCGCAGGAGTCTTCTCCAGC